TTCTCATGGATTATGTAATTAAGCTTATAATGTTTAGGACCATAAAGTAAATAAGCAGATTTGAAACCATTAAAAGTCTGACAAGTTGTTCTTGCGCATAGAGGCAGTACTAACTGAAATTAGTGATTTGTTAACTAAAATATAAAGAGTCCATGAAGCTGGGGAGGAGGTGTCACAGGGATGGCATTAGGGCAAACTGGTGGGAGGGAGGTAGTGATGGATGTATAAACATATGTGACTTTCTTGAAATAAAACATTATGAGTAAATAAAGCATATAGTGTGTGCTAATTGTGCAGAAACTGAGGCAAAGCAGACATTAAATACAGGGTAGAAAATAACTAATGTTCTTAAACCTCTTGAACCTCTTGTCCTTAAGTGACTCAAGAAAATTGGAACAACAATTAGAAAATATTCTGAACCAAATGACCATGACCATGTGTCATATTAAAATTTGTGGTATTTGACTAAAGTTGAGCTTAGAGAAAAATTGTCCCCTAGAGAAAAATTTATCCCCTCAATTATACTTGAGAAACAGCTGAAAAAATTGGTGTCATCAAGTAATTAGAAAAATAACAACAAATATAACTTAAAGCAAGCATATGTAAAGAAATTAGAATGATAAAATGCAGTTAAATGGAAAATCACAATGAAAGAATCAAAATTTGTTTTTGTTTTTGTTTTTTGTGTTTTGGTTTTTCAAAACAGGATTTCTCTGTGTAGCTTTGGAGCCTATTCTGACACTTGCTTTGTAGACTAGGCTAGCCTCAAACTCACAAAGATCTGCCTGCCTCTGCCACCCAAGCGCTGGGATTAAAGGTATGAGCCACCAACGAACGCCTGCCAAAATTTATGTTTCTAAAAGACTAATCAAATTATTATTACCAGTAGCTTAATGCCACACTATCCTCAAAGAAGGTATATGGCCCGGAGAAATGATTTAGCCATTCAAGTCTAGAGACTTGAGTTTAGGTTCCAGGTAAGGCTTCACCCCTCAGCATGAGACTATCATCCCAACCCCCAGCACTGTGGGAGGATGGTGATAGAGAGACCGGAGGTCCTTGGGTCGTACCCAGTGGCGAGGCACTCTGTCATAAAAATAAGGTATAGGGCTTTAGTGTAAAACACTGTTGACATATGGCTTCCACTCACATAGATATGTACATGCTTCCCCTCACATAAATACATCCCTACTCATATACAAACAAGAAGGCATGAATACTGGAAACTTATAGGGATATTTTATTTAAATTCAGTAGAAATTAAAACTACTTCTACAGGAAGCTTTTGAGCGAATATATGGCAGAAACCTTCTGGGCTGGGCTGGGTGCTTTCTTTCAAGGCTGCTCACCTAAATTCCATTCCTAGAACTCACATGCTAGAAAGCAAAGTATGAGTAGTGAGAGTTGTACCACGGATCTACAAATACACATTGTGGCATGTATATGCATTCATGCCCATGCACACAAACCCAGACTTATTTTATAAACAGAGTATTGTTACAAATCTTCTGATTTTATGTGAAATGGAGAATGGTTAAGACACATGTAACTCAGAGTATGATTAAGTAGATTTGAGCAGCTTCATATCTACTTACTCTAAACACCCGAGTGTTTTATAAATGAAGAAGTATGTCCAAATGCCAGCACAATATAGACAAAAGTTGAGAGTTTAAATGTATCTTATAAGTGTATCTTTATGTTCATTGGTCTTTTACAAGCATGCATATCAGTATGAGACTGTCACATCTCCTAGTACTGGAATTCTAGACAGCAAGGAGATGTCATGTGGGTGCTGGGAATTGAACCTGGGTCCTCTGGAAGAGCAGTAAGTGTTCTTCTTAACTACTCCACTAAGCCATCTCTCCAGCCCTTATAAATGGATCTTTTTTGTTATTTTCTATTTAAATTGGAAACAAGCTTGTTTTACATGTCAATCTCAGTTCCCTCTCCCTCCCCTCCTCCTACCCTGTAACAACCCTCTATTCATCCCCTTTCTGCTCCCCAGGGAGGGTGAGGCCTTCTATGGGGGATCTTCAAAGTCTGTCACATCATTGGAAGCAGGACCGAGGCCCTCCCCCATGTGTCTAGGCTGAGAGAGTATCCCTATATGTGAAGTGGGCTTCCAAAGTCCATTTGTATACTAGGGATAACTACTGATCCACTACTGGAGGCCTCATAGATGGCCCAGTGTGCATAAAAGGACTGGGGAAGTTCTTCCTTCCTTCCTTCCTTCCTTCCTTTCTTTCTTTCTTTCTTTCTTTCTTTCTTTCTTTCTTTCTTTCTCTTTCTTTCTTTCTTTCTGTTTTTCAAAGTTGGGTATTACTATGTAGTTCTGGTTGTCCTAGAACTCACTCTGTAGACCAGGTTGGCCTCAAGCTTACAGAGACCCATCTGCCTAATTAAAGACATGCTCCACCACTTCCCAGAAAGATTGGGAGAGATTCTAGCACCAACATTAGGAATTAGGGAGTCTGAGGAGTTGATGCGTGGTGCTCTACATAGCACCCTGTGGAAAAGTGTATTTTCATTTATGGTATTTGTAACTTTCATTGAGTTTATCAGCATTTAATAACTTTTAGAAATGGGCAGATGGGAATACCCACTTTCTTTGTTTCCTACTTTCTCTGTGTCCCCACGTCCCCTGTGTTTATAGGGAACACTTCTGTAAATATAGCCATATCAAAATACTTGTGAGAAAATTTCAGATGTCCCTATTGGAGTATCATGTCAGGACTGTACAAGTGGGTTTAAAACAACTTGCCGACTACTGTCCTTTAATGTTATTTATTTACTATCAGGAGATTGTGATTTGGGGAATATCCTTGGGAAAAAGAAAAGCAGACAGAAAACTGAGGTAATTATGTGAAAGTGACAACCAGATCTACCAGTAAACATATTAAATGATATTTTCTGGAATATTTTGTCTTTTGGATATTCCTAAAAGATGTTCCTATTTAATATTTGTGAATAATAAATGTTTCTTAAATTAACAACAATAAACTGTGATACAAAACAGAAATATTTCAGAAACCAACATGTCTAGTAGCAAGTAGTAGCTTTAAGTATTTCTACTTCCCTATATCACAGAACACTTGTCTGTGGCAAAAACAAAAGACCCAGTAACCACCTCCTCTCTTGGCTGCCTACATATTTACAATAATTGGTATAACCTGTTCACTAGCGAGAATCTTGGTGAAAACACGATGCTTCAGGATTCCTGGGGCATCTAAGTGTGTCTGTGGGTCATGAAAAGAAATCTGAGAAGTGATTATTACAAATGTCCAAGCAGAGTTACAGAAAGCAAGGGTGAATATGAAGACCACACACAGGGTAAAAATCTAAACCCTGCAGGGGCAGTCACTGAGGGGCAGAGATGAAAATGGAGAAAGTAGAGCCAGGTCATGGTAAGGCTCGGATGTGGGAAGGTCTCTGATAGGACTGAAGCAACCTACTTACTGCATTGACAGAATTGCAGGGAGGATGAAGTAGACTCTCTGGATCTATTTTGTTGGCAAACAGGCCCGTAAGAAGCCACTGGACAATTGCAGAGCTGGTGAGCTGGAGCTAGGTATGCGGCATAGAGGATGGTTCTGAGAAATATTTAAGACAGAAGCACTTAGAGTTTATTGACTGATGGTGTAGGAGGCTCAGGCAGGAAAGGGAGGCTGAGCCTAGGGCAAGCTTTTCAGTTTGACTATCAGCTACACTGCTGTGGCTTTGGTCACAGAGTGAAAACGAGGGGAAACACAGGATCAGGAGGCATGGGATAAGTCTTGTTTTAAACATGCAGAACTCAGAGACCTCTCTAGCTTAAGGGAGGTCTATTTCATTATTTTGCAATCCCATACGGGGGTATAATATATTACCCCATTCTCTGTTATCTCCCTCCTATCCCTGTCAACTGCATATCATCACTACCAGTCTCTTTCTCAGATTCATGGGTTTGGTTTTGATTCATTTAGTTTAGGCAGCACCATCTGTGTGGCCACTAGTTTGGATCTATTCACTGGAGCCTGGCAGGATCATCACTGAATACACCCAGAAGGAAATGTGTTCTCCTCTCCTTGAATCTATCCTGGGCAAGACACAGCCATTGTGATCACAAAGAACACTCACAGTAGTTGTGGATGCCTGTGTTGTGTCTGTGAAAGAGTGGGCCAGTCAACTAGCAGGCATGGATGCAGGAAGTGTTCTGGGGGCTCTGCCCTTCAGAGATGAACCTTTTACTACTGACAAAGTCATTCTAATCTTTATAACTTGTTAGTTTGTGTTCGATGAAAACTTAATAATAACTTTTATGCCAGTGGAATTTTGTAAATGTTATGTTCCCCACCCTTTCTAGAAGAGAGAAGCTGCCTGACTAAACAGTTTTACTATTATTGTCAATAGCAAGCTTGGAATATAAGTTTCATACCATCCTGCAAATTGTTGTCCTAAGTAGCTTATCAGTAGTTTCTCTATATATATTTAAGTCATCCTGCAAGTGATTTCTTTGTTGTTAAATTGGGGTGATTTCTGACTTTATTAAATTTGATGCAATATTGGATTCTCATCACAAATTTTCATTTTCATGGTGCTAATGTTTTCCATAATATAACACTGTTCATTTATTACTTCATTTTCATTTTTGAGCTTTCGTTTTTCATGCATATTCTTCTGTGAATCAACCCAGGGAAAACTTCCTATGACTGAGGATTTCTCATACTTCAACCCTTTGAAAATTAACATAAACATCACATGTCATCCCATTACAAGTTTAGCACATGGGATTTGATTCTCATTTTGGAAAACAGTTTGTCACAACAAACCTCTACTCTCCATTCCTTTCTATTTAATTTTGTCAGAGATGATGAGAGTTTTACACAGAAATTAACATTTCTACTATAGAGAGAAATGAATATCAAAATTAATAAGCTCAGAATGCTGAAATCAAGATATTAAACAGAGATGAACATTTTAATTATAATGAAATTTGATTATAATTTATCCTACAACAGGAATCACATTTTCAGTTTTGTGTTCCTCATAGTCTTGATATTTCCTTGGTCGGTATTTAATGTTGTATGCTCTTGTTTTTTCCTGGAGACATTTGTGGTGCAGGTCTCAAGTGCTCAGCATTATTAAGTCTTCTCTCTGTGGAAATACAACTTCTCTTCATTTTGAGCTCAAGCAGCTTCAATACAGTATTATGATGACTTATAACTCTACAGCAGTACTTTGGGTAAAATGTTAATTACACCCTGATACTTCCATTATCATAAGGATAGAAATGTGTGGGTTTTCATGGAGAAAAAAAAATCAGTGAGTTTCCCTTTTCTCTAAATGCAATGTGAGAAACCACCATTGGTCAGCTTGGATGCCTGTGACTTTGGATGTTGTGGAAGCTGTCTAAGTCTCTTTTAACTCACCCTCATAATTAAGACATTTAATTCCTTTGAGGTATGACTCTCTGATACTGATTGCCTAGTTCTGTTTTAAAGGTTGTGGTGGTTTGAATAAGAATAGCTCCCATATGCTCATATATTTCCCACAAGCTCATATATTTAAATGCTTAGTCACCAGTTAGTGGAATACTTGATAGGATTAGGAGATATGGCATTTTTGGAGGAAGTTCGTCACTGGGCGTAAGCTTTGAAGGTTCAAAAGCCCATGTTGGGCCCAAGCTCTGTCTGCTGCCTAAGGATCAGGATATAGAACACTCAGCTACTGCTTCATCACCATTCCTTCCTGTGTGCTGCCGTGCTCCCCACCATGATAATAATGGACTAAGTTTCTGAAACTATTAGTAAAGTCCCCAATAAGGATTGACTTGGTGATGGTGTCTCTTTACAGAAAAAGCAGTGACTAAGACATGGGTAATCTATCTATCTATCTATCTATCTATCTATCTATCTATCTGCTTACATATTTATCTATTTATCACTCTCCAATCCCCCATTTCTTACTCATAACCTCAATGTTTTTCCACAGTCAGGTCTAAGAACTCACAGAGGAGCTTGCACATTTTCTGCAGACAATAAGAATTAACAGCCCTGGTACATTTGACACCAGTGACTCAATGGCTCCACTGGGATTGTATACTCACAGCACTGTCAGCTGTAACAAAGGACTGCTAGGCTAGCAACTATAAAAAATGAATGCTGTAAGTTTAGGATGAAAACATTGTTTAGAATATTAAATATTGAAAAAAACCTCCATTTATTGTGCCTTTGAGGCTGAATGAGTTTTGTGCAGCCCATTTCTATATGGGATAGTGTTGTTTCTGTTGGTCTAGACAATATGATAACATCTTCTGATTGAAGACCCATGCAACCAAGGGTTAGAAACCTTTAGTGTGATACAGTCTTTAAATACAGTCCTTTAAATGTCAGCAAAATGAAAAGTCACTGTCATTTTCAATTGGTATTAGGATATCTACCTGTACTTGGGGGAGAATTCTTTTCTAAACCTTCCCATTCTTCCATTTATATAAAAATAGAAATAGACTTGGAGCCTGAGGAACAGTTTTCTAGATATATTTGTATAACATCAATGTAAATACCAGAAATAGAACCAAAGATAAGAAAAGAAAAAGAAAAACAAAACAATTTAGAATAGTGACAGAGGAAAGCTAGCTGCTCCCATAAAGAAATAAATATAACCAAGGAAATTTGTACTGATAGGGTTAGTGCTTGTTGGCAGAAGATAGCTGCTATCGGAGATTTATTTAACTTTTAGCTTAAAAATAGCATTTCTAATTTTTAAGCTTGTGCATGGATATTGAAAGATAGCAAATATTGTATGAAGAATTTTAGTCTGCATACATCCTGGTAACTCTACGAAGTAATAATGGATAGCTCCAATACAGTGGTCTCATGATGGCCTGGTTAAACTAAAGGGCCCATGAAACTAAACCAACATGGTTTTGATTTATATTTCACTGATGGATAAGGATGTTCAGCAGGTTTTAAGAACATTTCTCAGCTATTTGTATTTCTTGAGAACTCCCCAATTAGTTCTCTGCTGGTTCATTTTTGTAAGATTGATGCAAACTGCCTGAGAAGAAGAATGTTCATTGGAGGAACTGCCTCTATCAGTTTGGCTTTAGACAATATCGTGGAAGCATTCTCTTGGTTAGTAATTAGTGTGGGATGTGAGAGCTCTGCCCACTGTGGTTGGTGCCATTCCTGGGCAGCTGGTCCTGAGTTGCACATCAAAAAAACTCAACCCAATAAATAAATAAACAGATAGATAGATTGATAGATAGATAAAGAAAGAAAGAGAGAGAAAGTTGAGCGAGTCATGGAAAGAAATCCAGTAAACAGCTGTCTCTGTTGTCACTGATTCAATTCCTGACTCCCTCAGCAATGGAGAGTTACTTGAAAGTGTAAGATGAAATAACATTTTCTTCTCACGAAACTTAGGACAAGTTCTATGGGAAAATGTTTTAACTGGGTTATCTTTTTTTTCGGTGCTTAGATTTTTTTCTTGTTTTACTTCATTATATCTTTGAGGATTTCACACCATATGTTGTGATCATATCTTCAGCCCTCCTCTGATTCAGAGAAGATCGACTCATTTCCCTAAACATTCAAATTCATGCCCTCTTTCTTTTCTTCAAGTCTCTCAAGTCCAATTTTTTGTACTCATATATTGTAGAATGAGTAGTCTTCCACTGGAGCATGCCTGATTTGTGAGGAGCTGACCCCCTAAAGAAAACCATCTCTTTTCCTCAGCATCTATCTAGCTCTTCGGCTACAAGTGGGACTTCATGCTCACCCCCCTCACAATGCTAGGATTTGGTCTGGCTTGAACTTTCTTGAGTCTTGTACACGCTATCACACCACTGCAAATTCATATGTGCAGTTGCTCTACTGTGACCAAAGGGAGCTCTGTCCTTGTCACCATTCATAGCCTCCAACTCTTATCTTCTTTCCACAACATCTTTTGAAATGATCCCTGAACATTGGATGGAAGGGGCATGATGACAAAAATAGACAGGTCAAAGTGGAGGAGGAAAGGAGCATGGGGCCTCAGATCTACACAAAGAACTAAAAGCAAATGAGTAAAGCTGGAAGAGGGAGAAAAATGCTGGCATGGATGTGGGGAAGGGAAACACAGATTCACTGTTGGTGAGAATGCAAACTGGTAGCAGCCTGTAGGGAGGTCAGTATGGAGGTTCCTCTAAAAGGGAGAAATAGATCTACAACATGATCCGGCCATATCAGTTTGGGGCACATACTCAAAGGCCTCTGAGAGTCTTTTTGTAGGTTGGCTTTGTTCCACCTGCATGGGAGGCACTTTTATTGCTAACTCTGGGAGGGAGACACCCAGTGAATCTGGTAAGTTTCAAGAACTACCTTTCTGCTGAAGTAGCTTCCTTGCAGAAGGAAGGGAACTACTGTACAGTAGACTGCCCCTTCCTCCACCTCTTACATTCTTTACACCCCCTCTTCTGCAACGATTTCTGAGTCTTGGGAAGGGTGACTACCTATGGCTAAGAAATAGACCACAACACCACAGTAGCAGTCATTTGTTCTCTGCACTTACCAGCAGTTGTGAGTTGAAGCTGATAACAATAGTGATCTGGGGGCATAAACACATATCTGGAAAGTAGTTTGAAGGGTACATCAAATATGTATGCAGTAAAACCAAAGAAGTTGCTTCCCCATAGAGATCTAGGACTTCACCAGTTATAGGTTCTTGTTCTGGCTTATACACAAGGTTTTAACTCCCTTTTGTGGAATGGGCCTTAAATCCAATCAGATGGATCTTTATCTTGCCTACAACAGCCAAGCCATTATAACACAAGCAGTCACATCCTGCCCACCCTGCTTGTATTTTCACACACAGGGTCAGTAGCCAAACAAAAATGTTGGTAACAGTTCTCCATCAGCAGCCTGCATGGCTCCTTCCTAGTGCTGTGAAAGTCAGCCAGCAGGTAGGAGTTTCTGTCTCAGCTTAATTTCTCTATATAGTATAGACAAAACATGCACATGCAGTATATTCAACATTAGGGTCTCATTGTCTAGTTCTGGCATACAACTAACAGCAGTAACAATATCCTTTATGATCTGTGGGGCCTCAGGGACTTCCCTGACCAAGAACTCACAGGGAGGGAGCCTACCCCTGGGATTTATTTTCAATAACCTTATGGCCTCTGGGAGTGTTCTTTTCCACCATGTAGTTTAAACTCTTTGGCTGTTGGTTCCATTACTGAGGGATACTCTGTGACTTTAAAGGATACTGGTCCTAGGACAGTCAGTACGACATTGGTGCTCGGTCTTGCATGCATTTGTCTCGCTGGTTTAAATATGCATGCCACCATTTTAGAGTGTGATTCTGTACCAGTCCTTTATCCTGTAAACTGTTTTCACAGTCACTCAGAGAGAACCAGTTATGGGTTTCACTTTCTGCAATGCTTTTTATGTCTCCTGTAGTTGCTGTTCTAGTGCTGGGTACATAGCTTCTGCTCCTTTCCATGACCAAGACCAAACCCTATCAGAACCATTTTCTGGGGTTGCTTTTGCCATTGTCGCCAGCTGTAACAGTTACACCCAAAGCTCAGATCCACAAATTACCATCACAACAGATTCTGATGTAAAAGCAGAGTCCTTATTACGAGTTAACTCGGGTTCCTCTGTCCATCTGGAGCAGCAGCAGTCTCGGCAGCAGCAGGAGCAGAGCAGGAGAGATCCCGAGTGGCAAGGGGAGAGGGTTTTAGTAGAGGAGAAGACTTAGGGAATTCCTGAAACTTTGAGATTTTTTTACCTTCCTGCTTAAGGATTTTCCTTGCAGGATGCAATGTTTCCATCTCAGAGGAAACTAGTAAACAATAGCCAAGTATAAAGGATGATGTGAAAGTTCTAGGCCCCTGTGTGTGTCTACCACATTTCCAATTCCTCAACTCACTTAACAAACCTGTTGTTTGACATTTTCATACATAGTAATGGCTGATTAAATCATTTGCCTTTGTTAATTTTGTTAACCAATAACCTCTTTCTTTTCCTCTGAGGAAGTCTAAGATTTGGGTAAAAGAGAAAAAGCTGATATTTATTACATAATCATTTACCCATCATGTTAAGCCCTCTACTCTACCACTAATGTCAACATCAACTGGGATCAACAACAACAGAGCTTGTTATGAATAACAAGATGTAATATTTTCACATTTATTTTTCTGGAGATACTTCAGGAACTGGGCACCAAATAGAAATATTATAACAAATAATGCACCTATTACTCTGTTGTAAATTAGACTTTGTTATAAAAATAATTAGCAAATAAAAAATTAAGCACACAAACTAGTCAACTAATACATTGATAGACTAGACATTTGAAAGAGTTGAAATAGAAGTTGTGAAGTTTCACACTAAATTGACACATTCAGTATCAGGTATATTTTGTATATTGACCAGGAGTCCACCAAAACAAACAAAAACCATATTATAGAATTAGACCTATAAAAACATTATCCTTGGACATCTTTCACATCTAGTAATCTTATCACAAAGGAGATAACAAATTCTTGGAAGCTTTGTGTTGGAGTGAGGGATAAAACAGTTAAGTATTTCTTATTCCTAAAGTCACAGGTAACATTCACTTGGCCACTGCAACCCCCCCCCCAATGGATTTTCTTTAACCTTTTCTGGTTCTAATCCTATAATCCTGAGGTTTGGAGAACATATTCCAAGCATTTCTATGATTGAATCGACTTGACTGGCTTTACTACATTCACAGCCGTGGTTATCAATTCTTGATACATTTGTGTAAGCTAGCATAAGTTTCTTCCCTTCTATCATGCCACTTAGGCATTCTTTGGCTCATTGGATGAGGGCCACCAATATTCTAGAGAAAATTAATAGTATGATGAACAAATGAGTCTAACTTTTGTTTGTTCCTTGTCATAGATGTACTACAATGGAATCAGAGACAGACACATGTGTGAATTTCCAGAATGTCAGAACTTACTGAATAATAATAAATTCACAACCTACATTTGTTTCATTGGCTGCAATTTGCCAAGTAGTTCCAATTTCCATTATTCTTTTATTCCAATTTAAATTACCGATACTAACAATCAGATCATGTATAACAAACCCACAGTGAGTACTATCTGTCTATCTATCTATCTATCTATCTATCTATCTATCTATCTATCTATATCTATCTATCTATCATTTATCTATCTATGCATCATCTATCTATAATCTATCAATCAATTATATATCCACCGTAGTTTGAGGAGTTTCAAAGAGGCCTCTTCTAGTTTGTTTTCTGTTGCTATGATGAGCTTCAAAATGCAGCTTGGAGAGAAAAGAGTTTATATTATCTTCCAAGTTATTGTCCACTCTTGATGGAAGTCAAAGCAGAAATCTGCAGGAAGAAATGAAACAAGACAAGGTAGAAGTTCTTTTAGCTTGTTTAACATCCTTTATTATATACCTGCCCAGGGATGGGCATTGCCCACAATGAGCTGGGCCCTCCTGCATTAATTAGTGGCCAAGAAACTGTCTAACAGTGTAGACTGTGGGTGCTGTGCAGGTGAGGAGGTGAGTGTAGACTGTGGATTCTGTGTAAGTATAAAGCAGAAAGGATCCAGATGGACAAACAGGGTAATGAATGGATGCCAGGTACACACAAAGTAAAGCTCAGCAGGCGACAAGCCAATGCCATAGGAGTTTTATATCACTTATTTTTAAGTTGGAAGAATAACCATCTGAATATTTGTACAACAGATGTGTAATATATGTGGATTGGTTTTTAGAATTTTGAAGCACCATTGAATAAACCAATGCAAATTCCTTTAGTAGACATATATGCACAGATTCTATGTCTTTAATTTATTACATAATATTTATCTCCATTTTCAACCTTACTGAATCACTGTAATGTTGTGGGATCCCGCCTGGGTCCCATTGTTGCTTTAGCCCCCAAATAACACACGAGACACTATGCTAATTATGAAGCTGTTGGTTGTTTGCTATGGTGTCTTAGTGGCTAGCTCTGACTTAATTATTAACCCATAATTACTAATATATATTTTGATAAGGTGTTACCGAGAACGCGAGACTTACATTCTCTCCTCCCAGGATCACATGGTGACTCCCCACTCTTGACTACATTTCCCAGAATCCTCCTCACCTCCTAGTCCCATTTATGTTGCCTCCCCATTGGCCAACATTGCTTTATTAACATATACACAGAAGGACTTCCCCCAACAGAGCTGGATATACTCATATTTCCATTCCAATCTCAATTCAAAGTGTTGTTGTATTAAAGCGAGAGATTTTTACCATAGTCATTTCTTGTTCTTCAGTAATGCTTACTATTCTGTATGATACACTATGAAGCTTTAGTTGTAAGCTCATGTAGAGTAAAAACTAAAATTCATTTTTATCACTCAAAATTGCTCTACTCTTAGGAAGAGAGAGTAGGTCATGTGGGAACAGGAAGGTTGAGTGGGGGTAGAATAGGGAGAAGAGAGAATCATAGGTTAGAAGACACATCTGGTACCAGTGAGACCTCTAGTTTTCTAAAGGGATGACACCAACTGGCAAGCTAAGCAATAGTGGAGAGACCACCTCGAATGCCCATTCCTGATAACTAACTTGATGTCTATAGCCATCCTAGAACCTTCATCCAGTGACTGATGGAAGCAGAGGCAAACACCCACAATTAAACACTGAACTGAACTAATGGAACCCAGTGACAGAGAGAGAGGAGCAAGGAGCAAATTGGCAAAGAAAGGGCTGGCAAAACCAGCAGAGACAGCTGATCTAAACAAGGGGGAGCTCTTGGACCCCAGACTGACAGCTGGGAGGCCACCATGGAACTGATCCAGACCCCCTGAGTGTGAGAGTCAGTGAGGAGGCCTGGGCAACCTATGGGAACCTGGGCAGTGGATCAGTGTTTATCCCTGGCATACAAGCGGACTTCGTGTGTCCATAACACAAAGAGGGATGCTCTCTCAGCCTGGACTCTTAGGGGAGTGCCTGGACCCTACCCTGAGTGAAATGACAGACTCTGGATATCCCCTATGTGGAAGGAAGTGGGGATAGGGTGGGAGGCTGGGTGGGATGGTGGGGGGCACGGTGGGGGTGTGGGAGGAGAGGAGGGAGAGAAAACTGGGATTGACATGTGAAGCAAGCTATTTAAAATTAAAGTAATAAAAAAGGGAAAAAAGAAATAAGAGGAATATGGTCAGATATTCTAATGATCAACTAACTAGAAGCTAAAAATAGTATAACTGACATGCACTTACAATACACCCGAGCAACATACCATTATGGCTAACCAATAGAGCAAGGTCAGATTACTGTTTGTTTATTCTTATAATCAAGCATCTGGCAGAGGTATATCTTGCGGCTGTTACCCAGAATGGATACTATTGAGCTGCTGATTGCTACACAGAACAAGCCAAAATTAAAAATCAGAAGAACAGTTTGTATTTTAAGAGTCTTATACAGTTCAGCAATCAGTCCATGGGATGGTGATGCCTACACACAGCCTCATCCTCTCACTTCAGTGATCTGATTCTCCAAGTTCCCTCACTGCCATATGCAGTGGTTTGTATCCTAGGTGATTCTGGATTCTGCCAGTTTGACCACATAGACCATCACAGAACCACACTGAAAACAAAATGTAAAGCCGGTTTTACATCTCCCTCCTTCCACCTAGGCAATTCATATAGTTCCTAGTACTATTTCATTAACATTGAAATGCATTTAATTAAATATGAAGGTCCTTTTAGATGATTTTCTCATTCAACAAATGAACAGACCTATTTGCAATTTATTTTTGTTTATTTTTATTCTAATGGACTAATTTGTTAGCCATCCTTTCTAACTTACAGATCTAAAATACAGAAATGAGCTAGCAATCTGCTTCTGGGATTGGCATGTGAGCAGCTGAGCTCTGTGCTGACACAGGAGACAGTTATAGCTCCTGTTGCTACCTGGAGACTCATCCTTGCACTCAGCTGACAAGCTACTCAGGTTTTGTACCGGAATGGAGCTCAGTGGAAAACAGACCCAGAGAGCAAGTGCAACTAGGATGGCTTCAGAACTCAGATTTGAGGTGCCTGCCCGAGAAATGAATAGTCTCCCAAGAGAAAGGACTGAGAAGCTCTGAGCCACAAACAGCCTGGGTCTCTAAGAAAGAAAATGCAATAACTTCAAAACTAGTAACTGACAGCAAGTCTTCCCCAAAGTCAGAGAGTTATCTATCCTTTTGATCATAAGGTTAATATAATATATAAATGCCAATATTTTCAATATATTTCAGATTTAATAAAAGGGTTTGGAAATGTAGTTCTCAGGAGTAGTCAGTGACCTTAAAATTGGACCAAACAAATAAATCACATTGTTCTCAAAGGGGTTCATAAGACAAATTGTTGAACTTTAAAAAGCTAATAAATTATTTGATATTTAATTGTGATGTCTTTTTGTCAGCCATCAAGTGAGTGTATTGTAATTAAGTGTTTTGATCATTTGGAGGAAATTTTATGTTTTCAACTCTTATTTGTACTCTGATATGATATATCTATCTGCATGTGCAATTTGGGCGATAGAGAGTCCTTATAGTGACTGACAAGAACGTGGCAGGATTGAAGACTGCTGCCTACCCCTCAATCCTGGGGGCTCTAAGGCGGCCTTTAATTGAAGCACAGTGTGTTGATTTAAAAAGAAAAGCCTTTTTTTGTGTGTCTGTTCTGAAACTACAATACAATTTAATGTGCACTCTACAAAATGGAAGATGTTCAAGAGATCTTTTAATTTTTGATTATCTTCTGCCCTCTCCCATCTAATTTTCTGTAAGGTATTTCACCCTGTGTTTCCCTGACTCGTAATGAGGACAAATAGCTGTCCACTCTGTTTCAGGGGTTTTAATTGTTTTCTAGACATTGGAGGTCTTTTCTAATTGTACTTTGATTCTCCAGACAGAAAGAAATGCTTGAAGAGTGTCTGCCAGCCTGGTTTCAGGATAAATGAGCAGTGACTGTGTTTTGAAGAATGTTAAGGAGATGCCCTCAGTGGCTCACACAAGAAGGATGCTTGCATAAGAGAATCCCTAGGGTGTGGAGAGAGGAAGAGGAGTCACAGCAGTGTGGCCAAATCTTCAGGTCCTTGATTGTAATGAAACAGAGCAGTAAAAACAAAACAAACAAGTTAGGATCCACGAACAGACGACAGACTGCTAAATCTTTACCTCACGACAATTTTCTTGTCTGTGTGTAGAGCCAGTGTTCATTTCCTCTATCTGGCCTAAAAGCTGACAGCATATTTCCATAATAATATGCTATTTTCTCCATTCATCACTTTTCTGAAAGACCACCAGAAACCTTCCACTATAGTTAGGCACGTCTCCCCAAACTGCCTCAGAACTCTCTTGTGCCCATCAGGTACAAGAAATAGAATTCTGAGAAATTCACTAACCCTTGCAAACTGGCACAGCAACTGCCTGTAAAAATCACATGACCTCGTAAACAACTAATGTTTTCTGACCATGGCTTACCATGAAGTTATTTCCTCAGATTGCAACTGCATTCTTGTGACATAGCTACTGCCATCTTCCTCAGAAGTGGAGAACCTGATGCACAGAGAAAAATCTATAGTTTCCAATGTTGCACAAGGCTAAGAAGCACAGTCATGACTAGAACACAGGCGGTTGGTCTCATTAGAGCTGTTTGGAATTTGTCATCTCTGTGACATTTGCTTATTCAGGAAAATAGTTACTTATTACTTATTCAAATGCTAAGGTGTATATAAAATGGGGGAATTAAATAATAGCTAGGAAGAAGATTCATAAAGCCACTTGTTTTCACATGCACATGCCCAATATTACATTTGGAACAGGTGAATTTGAGAAGCAATTAAGTTATTTATCTCAACACAACTTAAGAATTTCTTCTGTGAGATGCACTCTCACCCTGAACTCTTGGGGGAGGGTCTGGGCCCTGCCCTGGATGAAATGACAGACTATGGACACTCCCAAGGAGGGCCTCACCCTCCCTGGGGAAATGAGGGGATATTGGGGGAGGGTTGGGGGAAGGCATGGGAAGAGGGGAGGGAAACTGAGAGGGACCTGGAACTGACTTGTGAAGCAACCATGTTTCTAATCTAAATTAAAAATAAATAATAAAACTTAAAAATAAATAATAAAAATAAAAATAAAAAATAAATTAAAAAAAGAATTTCTGCTAGTGCAAAAGATTTACATGATTATTTGCAAACTCAGTTCGGGTGTTGCAATGATCCTAATGTACCTTAAATGCATCATTTGCATCAAATTACACATGTCCATGATGTCCTCAAACAGACTGAGTGTTTTGTTTAGCTATGAATAATTTGGTGAAGAAAATTCACTTAGAGCTTGCCGACTCACTCCGAAATTATTCCAGCCAGAGCAGCTGATCCATCAATGATTGTTTACACAATTTTCCCCCAAACATTGTTTTCTTATAAGAAATAATTTAGCACTGAGTGTCTCCTCGGGTACTTTTCTTCTCCAGGCTCTCAAACATGTAGCTTTCCAGTGTGCTTTGTTATTAAAAGGAAATCTATAATGTATGAAAAGACTCTAAGCTCCATGCATTTGCAACATCTGTCTTTTCATCCAACTGTGTCACAGTTTTCCCACACTGCATATTATCCCTAGCGTTGTTTTACCAGTTTCTCAGCAATGTGTTTGTGCTTCTTATACTGTAGCAGCATTTGCTGACAAAGGAATGAATTTCCTTTTGCCACTGAGAGATCTTTCAGGCATCATTTCAGACATCCCTATTGCATATGAAATGACAAATGCTTCTCACATTTGTGAGAACTTGTTTTCCCTTTTAAGTAAGAAACCAACCTCAAGAGAGGCTTCTGAACATGGCTATTATTCTAGAGAAGATCAGAAAATGATCTCATTATCAGTGACTAAACATTTAAGAAGTCAGACTTTCATTTTCCTGATAATTAATTTTAAAGGTAGTTACTGATTAATAGTATCTCAAAATATGCATTTAGAGCTTGATCAATAGTTTTTGGTTGCACTTCTTGGTCCTGTTGATCTAGTTATTTCACCTTTGTTTTTAAAATAAAGACCATGTACTATGAGGGCAAAACACACATATAAAAAGTTTGCTACGAAGCATACTTGTATTATTAACATTTTCAACATTGATTTATTTGGAGATGTCTTTTAGGATCGTCTGTCTTTTGTGGTACAATTACAAAATGGGAACTGTAGGGTGTGACCTCACAAAACTGAGCCAACATGAGCTGTTGAGTACTGCAGCTTATCACATAGGGACAAACACCAGAGAGCTTCACATGCACAGAACGCTGGGGCAGAGAGGACACCGCTATGTGGCATGTGCCCAGGAGAGGACTCCATTTTTAAACAATATGTTTCATACTCTTTGAACAGACTTCCTTACACATTTTAGACAAAGAATAACCATAGCCAGAGTGCTAAGATACCATTTTTGAGAGATTGCCTCTTGGTTATTTTAAATTTTTATTGGTGTTTAAAATTAGTATACAAATGATAGACTCCTCTGTGGCTCTTCCAGACACACCGCTGATCCTAGCCCTCCCCAACCCATGCCCTACTCCATCCTCCATTGCACACCCCAACTCCCTTCCAGTTCCCAAGACTTCCTGTTTCTCTTCTTTCCCCAACTTTTCCCCTTCTGCTTTCAGATGTCTTCTCTATTTCATTACCCTTCCCCCTGTGACTCCCCTCAAAAGTCTTTTCTTCCCTTATCATGGTCCTCTACACAATTTCATGACTTATGCCTAAGAGTTAACATGAGAGAGAGAGCATGTTTTTCTTCTTGTTTCTGACTTATTTTACCTAATATAATGATTTCCATTTTTTTCAGTTTTCCTGACAATGCGATTATTTAGTTTTTATGGCTGAATAATCTTCCATCATATATAGACTACATATGGGTCATCAGGTAAACTAATGATGGCAGCTGTTGCAAAGGTATAACTTTGTTCCCCTTCTATACAGAGTGAACAGGTTGTACTTATGTGTTTAGGAATACACATTTGCACATACATATATGTAAATATTTAAAAATAATATAATTATGCAACATCTTAGTCAATCTTATAGAATATTCAAATTCTTAGGCACCCTATAGGTTCAAATCATACTTTCTGTGACAGTGAAGAATCTGTTTTTTTTCTTTTGTAAAATAAATGCTCCAGGTGATCTCTGGCATTGCACATACTAAAGTTTGAGAACTTGAGCACCTGAAATCAATTGACTGAATTGGCTCTTGGAATGCAATCTAACAAAAGTTGCTGAAGGAACTTTAGGAAATGTGACCATTACATCCAAGGGTGCATTGTAGTTAAGGAAAAGAAAATTGAGACTAGCTAACTGTTTTTGCCTTGCTATATCATAACTGATTTTAAAAGTCAAAGAAAAATATCCAGCTATAGTTTAAAGAGCAATTCTTTGGAGAGATTCTTTTGAAATGTAACTTACTGAGTCATTATGTAGTTTCCATGGGAAAAGGTGTCAAATGATGCAAAACAAAAATTGCAGGGTCTGTGTTTTCAGGAAGAATATAAGACTTCATTCCAACTTTCTCAGTATCACCATCTTGAAGAGACATTTTCCATGTTAGGAGTGATAGCTAGTCTACAATCCTTAGACTTTTTTTTCTTTTATTTTTCCTGCTTCAAAGGACTCTACATATATTTTGCAGCTAAGGCTACCGTCTTCTAAGCACAGAAATGAGTTATCATTGACACAGAAAAGTCAGGCTGTTTTCAAAGTCTTTAATAAAAGTGATTATTAAAATGTTAATATGTCAGGTGTTGGTGAAGCACGCATTTAATCCCAGCACTCCAGAGGCAGAGGAATGTGGATCTCAGTGTGTTTGAGGCCAGCCTGTTCTACAGAGCAAGTTCCAGGACAGGCTCCAAAGCCACAGAGAAACCCTGTCTAGAAAAAGTAAAACTTTGTATTTAAAATGCTAATATGAAGTGTTAGATTAGGCAGCGTGTAGGGTTTTCTTCAGCAGTTACTCTCTTTCAAAGGCCTACTGTTCTATTTCCTTCTTCCCTCCTTCCTTCCTTCCTTCCTTCCTTCCTTCCTTACTTCCCTCCCTCTCCCTCCCTCTTCCTTTCCTTTCCTTTCCTCTCCTCTCCTCTCTTCCCCTCCCCTCCCCTCCCCTCCTCTCCTCTCCTCCTCTCCTCTCCTCTCCTCTCCTCTCCTCTCCTCTCCTTTCCCTTCCTGTCCCTTGCCTTCCCTCCCTTCCCTTCCCTCTCCCTCTCCTTCTCTCTTCCCCCCTTTCTCCCCCCTCATTGTTTATGCTTTGGAGAAGCTCTCTGTATAGAACATTCTAGTCTCAAGTTTTTAGCAATCATCCAGATCCTGTCTACCGAGTACTAAAATTACAGGTATAAGCCTACTATGCCCACCTGTGATGTGTTTAAAGTTGGATGGGTCATGGGCTTGGAAACTATAGAAAATCAAGCTGTGGATACCTGAAGTAAAGGTGGTGCTCACCTCCTGAGAGAATGCTGTCTTGCATTTTACTACCGAGTTACTGTCTTCCCTCTTTATATTACTCTTTGGGATCTGACATAATCCAGACTTGGCTCAAGCTATACTTTTCTTGACTTTGGAAACATGTACTTTGTTGTTACCTACACAAAGCACTTACTCTGGAAGTGCTTGTTAGGGATTTATCCAAAATGTTAAACCTTTCTGGTCTGCATGTGACTGTGGAATAGGAACAGACAATATCTGATTGGCCAGCTATGCTGTGATAACTATCTTTACCCTGTGATTTGTCCTGTGTTCAATACTGTCTCTTATATTTGTTGGTTATGTGTCTGAAGTTTGTTCAGAATTCTTTGATGATGCAGCATTCATTTGTCCTTGGGCTGTCCCAGGTGTTTCTTCCAATATTTTTCCAACCATCTTTTTTTGTTGTTGTTTTGAGGTCCCAACCTGCTCTTTATCTATTTCAAGGTCTTCAGGCTTGTTAGGGTTTTATGCTTTCCTTTCCTTATCCTTCAGTAAGAACTGAAGAATTTGTGATAGGTATTAGACACATCAATTTCCTTCTTTAGGCTGAAACACTTACTTCAGTGCTTCATTAATAAAAAAGAACCAAAGTGAGGGTGAAATCTAATTGGCTGTGATGAGACAGTCATGGAGAATACTGATACCACATCTTAGAGTTTACAGAAAAAGTAAACAAAATATGTAAAATGATCACCACTACCCAAAGTTCAGCAGGAACAAACTTTAAAACTTAGATTATCTACTTGATCCAGTTCATAAGCAGATGAGTTGGGAATTGACACAAATCTCATGCCACTGGAGATGAAAACTCATAATGAAAATGTAGTAGGAAGAGT